ATTGGGTTAACACACATTAGTGACAGGATAACATCAGGTTAATGCATTGGGTTATCACGCATTAGTGACAGGCTAACATCAGGTTAATTCAAAGCTAGCATCGGGTTAACACCAGTGTTTTCTACAGCATTCAATTTGCGTGGGGATGATTAGTAAGACCGCCACAGTGATTTTTTCATTGTTTATCCTGAGTGTGAATTGTATTACAAAAATAAAGTGCAAAATACACAGCTATCAGGGATCTTGCCACGCTGGTCGGCCTGACCGCCACTCAAAATTAGCGCCCACCACGGAAACGCTTTCGACCAGGACTATTGTCAGACAGAGACATGGCTCTAGAAGCGCATTCATTTAAACAAAATGGTCACCAGTCAGCCATTTTAAATTCGATCCGAAAAATAAAATGATGTGCATCCGTAGCCCATAATGTCTAATATATGTACCAAGTTTGAACAAAATCCATCCATAAATGCCAGAAATGCTTAATATTAGCACAAAAATGGCCGCCATTCAGCCATTGTGAATCAGGACGTGAAACAAATTGATGTACATGTATGTGTGAAGTTTCTGCGAAAGCATCTCAAAACCACAGTCCTATCAGGGTGTCAAAACTAGAGTCAGCGGTAATGGTACGACCCATACTCCTAACACTGGCGGTGCACTCATTTCCGTTCCACTCATTCTAGCAGTAACCACAGCTACACAGTATTTGAATATGTTTAGTAATTTGCATAAAAAAGTGGTATTTCACAACATTTTGTTCAAATAAAGAATTTACATGTATGCGCATAACTTTAATGACTTTTTACAAAATAAATATGGTGATGTTCATAAATATGAAATAATGCAACTGAAAGTGTCTATAGTTGTGTATACATGTCACTTTTGTGCGAGACCTATTTTTCAAAGTGGAGGTACATTCATGTTCATACATGTATGTGTGTTGTTTGGCTAAAGTAAACCTGCTTTCGCGAGTCAAAGTTTTATTTTATCAAAACATACACTAACTTGTGAAATCGTGAGATTTAGATGAAGGGAAAAATGC